ACCACCCTGGTCTATAGCAACGGTTATCAACCTTTTTATATTATTTGAAAATTTCCATGTACTACTTGACCAAACAACCTTTTTTTTTTGTTTATCAAAAATGTATTCGTTATTTTACATATTTTATTGAATTTCATTTAATAAGATACTTCAAAATTATGATAATAATATAAGCACTTAATGCACATGTATATAAAATGAAATATGTACAATCATTATTTATATTTTTATAAATATCAAATAAAGCAAATAATAATTGATGTGAATAATGATCTCCACATACCTGCACATGATGAGAAACAATAATATATAGAATCTTGGGTCTCCTGACACAGTAAAAAAATGGGTAAGAGTGTAGACCGATTCAAAGGGGAGAGGTTAAAAAGATCAACAAATTTTAACACGTCTGCCACTAACTCCAATTTACTTTAGATTATTTAAATACGAGTGTATTGTAAAAGAATGTACCGACAAAAACTCTGACTCATGCATATATATAAAAATGTTTAAATATTTTTTTTATTACATTTAACATTTTTTTTATGTTTGTTGGAGACCGATATTTTCCTGAAAATTTTTCTATACACGAATATCGATGCTTTAGACTATAATAAAATTAAATGAGCTTAAATAAGTAAGATCAAACCGTTAAAAGCTCCTGGACTTTATATTATATTATGATTGCTTGGCCTAGATTTATAGGTTAATAATAAATTATTTTTAGTTTGTAATCACAAATATTATTTACTGACAATTAACTTTAATAACAATACTTTGTCAGTTTATCATGGATTATATAATTGTTTCAAAATCGATTTTAACCAAGTTTAAACTCTTAGGTATAATGTTTATCTATTGCAACAAACACGTTCCTATATATGACAGTATTTAAGTACGTTAARTCTGCGTCGACAATTTTTTTTAATTTCAACTCACATTAAACTATTATCACATGTATTTTTAATGTGATAATAATACTGTGTTTATCACTTATAAGTAAAACACGTGATTTTAGTAGCCAATTGCGTAAATATTATACTCATTATTATTATTTATTATTACTATGTGTTTAAAGTTTTTTCAATGCTAGATAATTGTAGTTTAAAAAATTGTATAATTTCAACTATAGAGTCAATGGAGAAGGGGTAAGGGGGCAAAATTCTATAATCCTCTTGAGTAATTCATTGCTACTTACAATGTACATTATTATAACGTATTACACTTAAATAGATTGATATAGGTAATGAATGACCTATTCATGAATTAGTATCTTGTTTACAGCTAAGCCATAATAAACAAACTTTACCTTTAATAGGTTCATAACGCTGTCATATCTTGTAAATTAATGTATTGTAATAATATCCCAGACAGATATAATGTAAATAAAAAATAAAAAATACTAGTAAGGACGTGGGAGAAAAATATCATAAATAATAATACATATTAATTAGTAAAGTAGCAAAGTAATTAATTGGTTATAATGTACCATATTTTTTATAGAAATTATTTCTAAACGATTTCATTGTAACTGAGGATACAAATTAAAAGAAAGGATATTTTGGAAAATAAAAAATAAAAAAAGGTGGGTAAGTCGTGCATGTCGCTCTGCTGTACAGTAGGCTACAAGTGGGTTACACACACACATCATGGTAAAATCAATACATTCATCGCTCCGCTCAGAATCTAAAATATATTGGCAAGGAAACCTATTCACTTGTATGTTATTTCAAACTAGACACTGTATTTTAGTTTATAATTAATTATCTATATGAAAATTTAKRCTTAAAAATAAACACAGAGTTCTGCATTATTCATTAGTACACTGTACACTTATACTGAATTTAATCTGCAAGAATAAGCGTGATCAATTTTATAATATATTTCCACGTTATAAAATTAAATAACAGTTATCAGTGTTATTACTTTTCACTAATTGTCTAATTATGTAAATTATATTTTATAATAATCATATTAATCAAAAATCATTATTTAATCATACATGAAAGTAACAAAACGATTATCATACATTTATGTACCTACATACAGTGGTGTAGTGGGGCGTATAATACGCGGGTATACGGTGTATACCCACTTCTCTGTTTTTCTGTAAGTGCGTATACTTATAGAATAATACATGATACGCGGGTATACGTGTATGGAAATGCATTTATTCTATAAATCAATTTGATAAATAATTTTTTTTTTAATGTACAAACTTATCGATTTGACGGTTAATGAAAACAGATGCTTTTACAGTTATACTAAAGGTATTTTAGTATATTTATTTATTTATTATAATCAACGCCAGACGGCTTTTAAAAAATAACAGACAGGAAGTACATAGATAACAGTATAAAAAACATATACAAATGAATGAATTACACTGTAATTAGACATTAATAATATATATTATACAATATAGCCGCTGCCCGCTGGTATCTTGGCCATAGAGTTAATTATAAACATTGTGGGAAAACGTATTATATAATATGTAACTATGTAGGTAAGTATGTGCCTAACTGATAAGATATTACAGAATAAGAACGCCCGGCTTAGACCACCAGTTACAATAATTATTTCTTGGTGAAGGAGAGGAGTTATTCGATGTCTTTGGCCGAGGTTGTTGCTTGCCCATTTCTGCGGCAAGAATTCTGGTGTAGGTTGGAGCTGGTGATGTGCTGGAAGACTTCAGCAGGTTGATATCCTCTTGCTGTTTGGCTACTGAGAACTTCAGCTCTTCACAGATCTTTAGGATCGTCTCCTGTTTTGAGGCTGGCCTCGTTCTGGTCGTGTACGAGAGCTGTAGCTTTTTGCTTCGAGTTTGCCTTTACTGCCGCTTTTTCGGCTTCGTAGAATCCCCCATGCACATTAATTCGATTTTGGCTTAACGTTTCATCTGCCTCTACGACTGCATTGATTGCGTCCCTGACTTCTTTCACAAGACTCAGCTGATCCATGGACTCCAGCAGGGATGTTATTATTTTGTTTTGTACTTTTGTAAGGTTTTTGAGGTTTGCCATCATCGTGATTAACCCCGGTTCTTTGCTTCTCTGAGATAGCAAGAGCTTTGTCCTTAGTTTTACCTCGTTTTCTTTATGTCGTTTGGTTCGTCCCTAATCTCCTGCGTGTGTGGTCTCATTTGAGATGGCTTTTTCGCCACGGATGTGGCTTGAGTTTCCTCACCAGCAGATATATGAGTGACTCCGTAGCCGGTGACAGGTGCCTGCTTCGGCASACCTGCACTAGTGTTAGTATCCTGGGATGATGATGGTGTGTCTCTTCGGGGGAGTTATAAACAAAGCTATACTGATGCATCGAAAACTGAAAAAGGTACCGAAATAGCTATCATCGCTTCCAACTTTCAGCAAAAATAAAAAATAAATAATCATTGCAGCATATTCTCCGCCGAATTGCTAGCGATATACACTGCCATAAAATATAATAAAACTAAAAACTCACAACTACTCTATATATTACGTCATATTTATAGACTCACTAAGGCCCGTAAAATGTTTAAGTAACCATAGAAACAATAAAAGTCTAAAATCAAAAATAATAGAAGCGATAAATGACCGCCCAAACGAAATAACTATTGTCTGAATACCAGGTCATAGTAACATAGAAAGTAATGGAAAAATAGATTGTCTAGCAAAGTAAGCAGCCAATAATCATAAGTTATGACAAATAAAATAAAATATATAAAAAAAAACAGTAACATTTCATGATCGGTGTCTTTTTAACAATTATCTTGGTCATATAACGTTCATTATCAGATGAAAAAAAATTAACCACTGTTTATAAAATTGTAATAACATCGAAATAATTGTGCGGATAGTGTATTTTATGATATTAAATTTGTTTGGAATTTTCAGGTTATGCGCCACTCATCCCATTCTTGTCGACGATGWGTAAACAACGTGGCTATTCTCCATTCGTAGTCGGTTTCATTTTCGCTGTAATGCCAATTCCAGCGAATTTAGCCAAAATTATTTTCGGCTCAATTACGGATAAATACAATTGTCGCCGGTTGGTATTTGTTTTGCTTGTAATTTTAACGCCATTATTGGTGTTTATAATGTTGTTAATACCTAACGCAAATACCAATGAAGAAATGGAGGACACGGATGCGATTAAATCACCGTTGTTTTGGTTATTTTGGACTACAGTTACATTATTCACGACGGCGGGTACGGTGAAGGCTGTTTTAGAGGATACTATTTGTATGGATTTATTAGGTAAATGGATTTGTTTATACACACATAATTAAGGAACGTATTCATCYCAACATGATGTTCAAAACAAAATGTCAACATATAATTATTACTAAATTACTTTTTAAGTCRTGAGCAAATAGTAGTAGGTTTTTAAATTTACAAATAGGTAGGTAACGAGTTCACGAGTTCTATGTTACAATATTAACCATATTGTGTACCAAGGTAGTTATTTAATCAACAAATAACAAAACTTTTATAAATATTAAGACAAAAGCATGGTTATCCTTTTACATTTATTAAATAAATGGAAAATGTCTTAAAACGTTAGATTGCTACCTGCCTACACATGAATTATTTTCTAATAAAATAGAGTGTGGATCTAAAATCTTTGRAARGATTTCAATACAGACCAATATTTTATTCTTAGAAACTGATAGGTACGTGGTAAATTTCAAAATATTGATAGTATTTAATTTTAAAATAAAAAACTTATGTTCGTATATGTATATCATATCCTCTTTGGGAACACTATGACAGCACAATTGGGAGTGCCGGAAATAAGGAGTGCTGAATGATCGTTGGATATGTTAAAAATCACATGTGACTAATATTATTTGATAATTAGGTTGATGTCTGTCATGTAGCCGAAAGAGATTAAAATGTTTAACAATTATTTACTGATATTWTATAATTTACGATATCTCTATCTACTTCGTTTTTTATAATAAATATATAAATAACTATATACTTAACTATGTAATTTGAAAAATAGATAGAAAAAAAAAGCTGAAATATTAGATTAATTATAACGCCAAGTCTGGAAAATATAACATGATAATTTATTTAAAATTTAGAAATCTCCATGGTGATTAATTTTATAAATTACAATAAAAAAAAAGCGTGTCAATGGATGTTACTCTGCTGTACAGTAGGTTACAWGTGGGTTACTGTAATGGAAAGTACTAAATTTTAATTCACTGATATAATATCATCGTATACGAAAAACAATTTTGAGCGCAGATGGTTAATTACGACCTATTTTTATCATATATAATATAAAAAAAAATGTAGTTACCTATAAAATAAATTTCAAATTAATCAAATATGATTCATTATGTACCTGTAGCGTCCCAGCATACAGGAGTACGAACGATTGGTGTTGAGGTAGATGGATTGAGGGAAATAAGTATAACAACATGACTTGTGGTTAATTTATTATATATTTATTTGATTGCTATGTAAATAAAATACTTKTATTACACAAAATGATTTAATTCAAAATATTCTAAGTCCAAATGATTAATTTAGAATGGTGTCTGGCGTGAAGGTGCTTGCACTGACTCTGGTGGTTCAAGTCTGATTTTGGTCTATTCGGGACTCTCCTATA